GAGAGAGAGAGAGAGAGTTTTTACTGGTGTTTTGACCCATGCCTTAAATCCTACCTTTAGTTTCTGTTGCTAGACAATAAACATTAAACTCCAGATTCGTTATCAGTTGCTTTCTCCACAAATATTTGTTTCAGTCTACTGGGTCTTTCTTTTACGACAAGAGCGTCACTCTCGGGAACCTCATTGGCCTTCAACAAGAATTAGGGGCCTCAAATGGAAGAACCAACACAAGAGACCTCAATCAAACCAGGCAAAACCATAAGAATCAGAGCTCCAAATCATGGTGTTGCCTCTATACAAGAGCTGATGCTCAGAGCATCGAACCCAATTCAACTCCCTCATTGGGTCAATTTCTCGAAGTAGAGAGAAGGGCAGCGGCCCATAACAAGAGGGAGAAACTGTACATCAATTTTATGTACGAGGACCTCACAGCTTCTAACACCATTTTTGAGACTAACCCTCTTTTCTCAGAAGGCCGGGTTGTTCCCCCTCAATCCATGAACTCTCAAGGGAATCCACCTTCTGTGTTACAACCAGATTGGTTACTCTCTCATGACAGGCTTGAAAGAAATACATTTGGGTCGAGGGTTCCGACCCTTCTCTCTAGCATTTGTGGGCGTACAAGTATCAAAGCCTAGTAGTTCTTGTAAAGTATTCTTTTGCTTCCTACTACTATTACCATAACGATGGAGATTTGGGTTTTGGTGTCATTGTGTGTGTGCTCTTGGTTTTGGAGTTGGAAATTTTAAAGTGAACTTTTCCCTGAAAAAAAGAAAAAATCAAAGTGAGCTTGGATTCAGTTCCTCCTTTGTCAGCCCTATTGTGTTATCTGATCTTTTTTTGAGCATGTAACATAATAATGTTTTGTGGGTCTCCAGGCTTTTTGCTTGAAATCTTGATCTGATTTTTAAAGTTTTGTTGGGAATTCAGATCATAGAATGGGCTGTATACATCCCCCCAAACTTCTTTGTATATGTAACTTTGATCACTATGTGACTTTATACTGGTCATGGTTGTACTCATTCATTTTAATAGTAAGTTTCACAAAAGGTCTGAAAACTTCTTTTTTCAATGGATTGAGGACTAAGAACCATTCGAAACCCATGCAACTATACTTCCACCCTCGAAAAATAGATGGGTGAAGCTCCTAAAATAGCGTAATTTTGAGTGATCTTCGATCTATTGAAATGATCAGTCCGAATGAACTGTTGAGATGATATTCAAGATGGAATATTATTAAGGCTTGAATTTTATTATTATTATTATTTTTTTCGAACTGTTGAGAGGATGGATGCGCAAATTTTTGAATCCCTAATCATCAGGAATATAAAGACACCTTTTCATTTGAGGTGAGAGCCTCACCAATTAATTTTCCTTGACTAAATGCATTATAATTGTCATGGTCTTCCCATATACCATCTCTTGAAATTATGATATTTGCCTTGCAAAGATTTGACCTAGGGATTCAAATCATTATTACTAATTTTTGCTGGTAGGGTGGAGGTTACTTTAAGGTTGTTAAGAAAAGGGACCCACAATCTTTTCTGTCAATTGAAAGCAGAATTTAGTAGTTGGGGAATGTAGGCCATAGCTCTAAGCTTTGGATCCCATGTTATTTAATCCCCACCTAAGAAGGAAAACAACAAGAAAATTCCACTCTCTTTCTAGGAAAGGAAACCAACCTGAAGAAAATTCTCTCTCTCTCTCACCAATTGAGAGAAAAGAGAGAGAATTTTTGTAAAAATCGTGTTTTAAATTGAGATTTTTTCTCTCTCTCACTCACCAATTGAGGGTTGGTGAGAGAGGGAGGGCATGAGGCTTATAGAAGAGAGAGATGATTGAGTGAAGAAGATTCATTTCTAGAAAACCCAAATGATTTCCTAATCTGATAGGAGCATGCTATCCATTTGCTCTCTCAGGTAAAACCCAAACTAGAAGTATTTTCAAGCCCCTATATTTGGGGGATGCAACCTCTTGAACCTTAAGATCTAACTTCTAAAAGAAAGGAGAGTCCAAAAAAACCAAAAAAACAAAAAAATTCAAATACACTCTGTATGTTTCCCAAAAAATAATGTCATGAGATTGAGTGGAGACCATCCAATTGTCCTACAATAAGATCAAAGAATTTAAAAACCCAAATTTGATTTATTTTATTTTTTCAAAAAAAACAATTCTATAGTGATCCCCAGGTGGATCTCAATATTTCAGATAAGAAACCTTCTCTGATGTAGCTCTTTTGCCCAAGAGAGTTGGTGTAAATGCTCATGTTGGAGCATGCAATAAGAATAAACTTTTCCTATTGTTTGAAGATCTTTTTGTCAAAACTTAGGTAAAAACAGAGATGACAGAAAAATTCTCCTCTAATTTAAGCATTAATCGTTGAAAATCATTAGATATGTTTTATTTGTAAAGGAAAATATATTGGAAATTAATTTCAAGGACCCAAACTTGCCCTTAAGCTTTCTACATCGCATCCATGCTACTTTCCTATGTATGGTTTTTCACATGAGGGGAGGATGAGGTTGTGCATTGTTAAAAAAAAAAAAACAAGGATTTTTTGAAGATCTTTTTGAAAAATTCATACTTCTTAACAGATTTCAAAAAATTTGAGATTTTTTGAAAAAATAGTGTTTTAAATGGAGACTTACTAATTATGGTTGTGATAGAGTGTTTTGGGGAGCTGATGCCTCAACATAACATCCACCGTCCATTCTCGCCATTAACATATATGGAAAAATTAAAATATCTTGCCTCGACCTATAAGCCCATCCGTTGCCAATCGTGCAGTTATTTAGCGTTGGCAACGGGTCGGGAGCAGAACTTGGACCCAAAAATATCATGGGACCCCCAACAGGACTTGATTTGACCCAACCCAAAAAAACAAATTAAATATATTTAAATGTTATGTTAAATATATACATATATTATTTAAAGGGTGCGGTTCGTATATAGCCGAGGCCTTTAGAGCCCACCTTCAAATATTGTTGACAAATATGATTTCAATACTGATAATCTTTGTGATAGCCTTAAATTATATTTTCATTTCTAATTACAAAATTTAAAGCTTCAAAATTAGTGAAGATCAAGTAGATCTATGAAAATTTGAAAATTGACCGTCCAAAAATGCATTACAAGATGCACTATTTCTAAAACTTGAAATCCAATTTTTTTTCTCATGTCCATGCATCTTGATGTCGAGATGATCAATTTGATGATATTTGGGCATCAAAATAACCTATTTTAGTGAAAGTAGGAGGTTGGCTTGACTTTGATTGTTTAGAGCTTGGGCTCTATATAAACTTTTTCCTTATTTAAATATTATAACTAAAAATATATAGTTACATTTATCTAAATATTAATATATTTTTAC